AGTATTATGCGTTTTCTGGCTTTCAAAACTAAGTTTAATATATTCACAAGACAAATAAATTGTAAAAACTACAGAGTTTTTGATCATTCGGGTCTACTAAAGTAGTTGAACGTCAATTTATGTTTTACTAGTGGCCGCCAACGACTTCGTCCGCGTTTCTATTATTTCTTCGCTCCTAATAGTTGCAGCGTGATGTTATATAGCCTAAAGCCTTCCTCAATAAATGGTCTATTTAACACTAAAATAATTTTCAATTCGACTACTGGTTCCTGAGATAAGCGCGTTCAAACAAATAAACAAAATCTTCAGCTTTATAATATTAGTATAGACGCTTAAATAACGTGAAATACCGTAAAAAGCTGTTTTTAACAATTTTAGTGTTTTATTTGCAATATAATTAGCCTAAAAAACTGTCCAATTGTGAGTCAACTTGAGCACGACAGATTCCGTACCAAAAACGAACAAAAATATATACGTTTGTCGTATGGGAGCCCCTTAAATATTTATTTTATTCTGTTGTTGTTGAAGCGGCAACAGAAATACTTCATCATTGAAATAATCAACTGCCTAATTTTTCACGGTTCTTGAGATAAAGCCTGGTGACAGATAGACAGACAGTGCAGTCTTAATGATAGGGTTGTCGTTTTGATGCTGCAGAAAGTCACTATACCACGCGGACGAAGTCACAGGCATAGTTAGTGATGTTATGTTTCTTCTATATAGTGATATTGATAAACAAGGTTTAGTGTCAGAGTAAATTTACTTTAAAATTGCAATTTTAGTATTAGTCCAAATTCATATGATACAGAGAATAAGCAAAACTATTTCCTTCTAGGAGTAAATATTACTTTGTAACTTTGTAATAGGTTAACCTTTGCTAAGTCTCTATTTAATAAAATGAATTTTGACTAATACTAAGTGCAGTCTCAGCGTATATTTACTCCAACGCTAAACCTTGAATTGAGTTTGAGTTTCAAAAAACCTTTTTAATTATAGGATTGTTTCTACAGTATTTTTTATTTAGTTTTTGTCTACATAATTTCACTACACTTATTAGTTTAGATATTTTATATTAAAAGGCTTGTACTTTTAGACGATAGATATCGTAATGTGATAATATTGACGCCATAACAGTTTTCCATGAATCATTGATAGCATACTATATAAGACGCTAGTGTTGGGACAAGCCAATAGAGATTTGCCGATTTTTATCATTATCATCATTAAGAGGCTCACAAATATAGTCCTGTAAAACCTTCCTTATGGATTAAAGAGGTTGGTCCATGACTCTCCACGCTCGTTGACCCTATCGGAATTGGAAAGTACTAACGACTGCAAATGCAGCCGAGACCAACGAAAGTTGTCAATAACGAAGATTAGGCAGTGGTAGTTGTCCACTACGCCACCGAAATTCTCGATCTTTATATCGTCTATTAATAAATTAACGTTTTTTAAAAACGACACAAAGGATTTACAAGAACGACACCTAATACTTATTGTGTCTCATTGCAGCAGACGTATTCAATATGCAACCTTTCTTTATTTTGTAAAAGTTCACAAGACCCATTGAAGAACTTCAACATAATCCGTCTATACTATTCACCCACTTATTGCCTAATCATTGTTTATTATTGATGAAAGTGGAATACGTAGTTGTCTTTTGTAGTATAAATAATAGTTTATATTAACATTGTTACATTATGAAAATAACTTAAATACATATAAACCAATCTCACCGTTTCATCATCTATCAAAAGTCCAATTCTCTTAAGCTGCAGAACTCATATATAGGAATCGCCTATGGTAAAAACGCATTTCACCATTGACTAGGAATCACCTAACGATATTAAACAATGTCTAAAGTTATGATATTCGATATGCGTCGCCTTGCGCTAGGCATTTGCGTATATGACCGGTCATAAATATGTCAAGGGATTAAAGAAAATAATAATTATTTGGAATTAAACTAAGCCTCTCCTATCGATAGTCTAAGCTTAGGCGATTCGTAATATTAGGCGTTTCCTAGTTAAGTTATGGCTTGAACTAGGTTAGTGAAAATGGGCGTCAGTCTACTTAACAAACGCAATACCATCCATGTATTACATACACATGTTCATTTTATTTTTTTATTTTTTTTTATTTATTGAATTCATTGTTTATTGTACTACCTATGTGGTTATAATACTATTTTGTTTCACTATTTACAATTATAAGTGCCCTGTCCAGAAGCTTAATCGAAATAGGAAACGCATCTATTAAAATTACCATAAATAAAATCAGGATGATAATAATGAATATAATAACATCACTAGCAGTAAACTCGATGTCGTCGTCTTGTCTACATTTTATTTTATTATTCGACTTATATCGAGTGTAATCGATAAAACGTTTGCGTTTATGACTCGATTCGAACGCGAATTCAATTTAGCTGAGTGTCTCCACCGCAGTAAACCTCTGACCCGACTCGCACCATCCTTGATGGGATATACCACTTATATTAACTCCAATAAGTTTATCGATCACGTCAAACTGTAGATTAATTGTCTTTCCTTATGTAAAATGAGCAGCTAACATTATTTTTCTCTTCTAAAATCTTTTTTGCTTCATGAATGGAATGGATGAATGTAAGTATATACTTGCAAACAAAAAATCTATTTACAAACATATACTTGGTAGCAACAGAACTAACATCGATTACTAAATGTCATAGATCAATAAGGTTTTAAAGTTTATAAAGAAAAACGAGTTTGATGGTTGTCTGTTTGACACATAAAAAAGAACAAAGAATGTTTGTACGTCAATCACGCCGAAACTACTGAACGGATTTTGATGAAATTTAGGTATACAGATAGGGTGTTAGCTGACTTAGATAATAGGATACTTTTTATCCCACTAAACATTTCCCTAGGGTCCACGCGGGCGAAAGCTTGTACATTAATAAAGGTACAATATCGTTTTATTATAAATACTAAAAAACCTGTAAATAAACTCAAAGAGAACGTGGGACAAGTTCCCCACATTAAACAAGGACCTATTCCAGGCCACCACGGGATCGTTTCGAGACAAAAACCACCTCGGAGTGGAATCAATGTGTAAAAATTTAACTAAAGACATAATAATGTTAAAAATTCATAAGAATATACTACATTATCTTCTTTTAACGTATTTTACGTAGAGAACTACCTTTACGTCTAATAATAAAAGAAACAAAAATTAAATCATGACCAAGATCTTACTATACTATGAACGAAAAGACTAAAAATATACTTAAACGGCATTGATATAGAGTTTTATTCGCATCTAGTTTTAAGTAACATTCGTATACGATATGGAAAACTCGCCTTATGAGATAGGAGTGATTATTCCCGCCTCTAAGAAAGAAAATTGAAAATTGCTTTTGTTGTAGGTACTGTTTCGATAATTTTATTTTTCTTTTCGTTTGTCAAATATACTTTTACTATGTAATTTTTCTTTATTTTATCAAGTAAAAATATAATTAAACATAAAATAACCATTGTGAATGGAGTAAAAACGCCTTTATAATTAGAGGCCTCTCACCATTTCCAGCTTACGGTCTTCTAGGACCTCGCTTAACCCCTAGGAACACTAAAAGCATTTATATATCAATAAAGAAACCTCAATTGACGATACCTTTTCGCTAATTACAAACCCTTCACATTCACACTCCCCATAAAAAGCTTAAGAAGTCCACAGACCCAACGTCCTACGCGCACTCGTAAAGAACCAAGAAGTATATTCTTCACAATAAATTCATTATTAACACAGTTTCGATATTACCTACTGAATCTGATTCGAGCGCGAATTAACAGCATGTAGATAAACTATCAGTTTATTTGAAAGATATGGTTTACTGCTATTCCGCTTGCGATAAAGCCTCATGTTGCTGCCGTGAGGTAAACAGTAGATACTGGCCGATGACAGATCGAACACAGCGGCCCTCATTACTGAACATACCACAAACAGCGAGCTCAACTCGCAACAAAACCGAATATCATAAAAAACACAAACCGACAAGCGAGAATCAACTGTATTAACAAAAAAGCTCAATGCATTATTGCATAACTATTGGAGAAGCAAATCTTCAGTTAAGTGGGACGCACAATAGCATCTTTAAAACGAAAACGCTGCTATTATTAGGTGTTACAGCGATTATTTGACAGTTTGAAAACGTTTACAGATTGTGGTATATTGGTGGCAATCTGGCTTCCTGCTTTTAATGTAAACAGTGCTTTGTGCGGCTCGCTGGGTACGGTGGAATTATATCTTCATCTAAAGCGTCCATAAACGTACGTGTAAATTAAACAATGTTTTCATTTATAATAGGTACCTTCAATAGTACAAATTATCAGTTTATTTCTTCAAAAGAGCCACCATTCGAATACTTAGGTGTATTCGACATTAGCTGACACGATATGAATAGAAATTTTCATTTGATACGATACAATGACCTTTATGTTTAGATAAAAGTTTATTCTGAGATAAAATTATATTACCCACATATAATAGCCCAGTCAAATTAGCGTTTTACCTCAGAATGAGAGAAAATAAGTAAAAAATTGGCATACGAACTAATCACAGATATTAGAATAGGTACTATCCTGATAATTTTTGTAAATAATTTGTATTGTGTGTAATTTTTAACTTTATATATAAATACATTTTACTAGACATTATTCATCAAAACTCACTGTTGTTCTACAGCCTCTAACTCAAAAACGGTTCAGAGCACAAATGCTTAAATTTTTGAGTTTATTTGATATGAATTTTGAGAAAATCAAAGCCTTTTTTAAATTAAATTATCTATTATTATAAATTTAAAATATAAAATACCTATATCTACAAAGAAACTTACATACTTATTTAAGATGAGTAAATTCTAACACATTTTCTTTGAATTAAACTATCGAGCGTGACGTAATTAAAACGCATAAAAAGCAACATTGCATTAGCTATTGTTCTTTTTTGGATGAAACATAATTTCAATAGTCACCAACGTCACCGTACCGCTCACTCCACTTGGCGTAACCTTCACACAATTGCAACAGAACCTCAAACATCTGATCAGCAGGAGGATCCAGTTGGTTCACGCTTCTCTCTAAACGATCGATATTCCTCTTGCTTCTGCCGTACGACGCAAATTGGCTCTGAGGCTTGTTCTTAATTCCGGCACTTATTAAAACCGTCGGCACCATAGTCGCTGGATTATTCATATCTTTGGCTTTCACAGCTTGAACTAACAAACAAAGCAAATAACCACCGAACGCCAAAAACGCTAGTGTCGTCACCGACGTCGTGAATAACTTGCTTAACTTGCTCGGACTATCCTTTTTATGCATGGCTTCGTAGTCAATCCTTTTGACAGGAGGTGCGTTTAAGGCCATCGCTTGCGCTCCAAAACTCTGCAGATATGGTGGAGGAGAAGTTACATTCTCTGGTGTAGTGATCAGCTCATGGAGTGACGATTTTAGACTTATCAATTTATCTAGAGACAGTTCGTTTAAGAATTGTAGATCGTTCGATTCCCCTTTGACATTAGTGAGTGTTAAGAACAAGCAAATGTGTAAAGCGAGCATGTTGGAGGCGTCTTTAACTCAAACTGGATGTGCAGTCGTTACTGTGACCGTCGAGCGCGACTATAGCGGCACAGCAAGCGGGTCACTGAGCCTAGACATCACACTTTCGAAGTCTAATTCATATACGGTACATTTAATAAATTATTTTGTTTTTTCCTGGTTCCAACCACACTCCAGGGTCCTGGTTTTGTTGATGGTAGCATGATTAAGGCGAGTCACTGGCACTAAATTGAGGTACAATACAACTCATTTTGATGAAGTTCTTGTTACGATTACAAAATTACATAATATTTAACTTTATCATTGATTAATGAAGACGACATTTTACTAATAATATTGAGCATCAAGTACCTATATCGTTATACGGCAAATAATTGAGACATCATTGTGGTATATTTATAGGCGGAATTGAAGCTTAGCTCTCATTTTCTCATTCTATCTAAAGTTTAACGAAAAGAAGGCTACTAATAAATAGTTTCACGATTAATTTGGTCATATTCACAAACGCTGCTGAGGTAATTATCAATACAATTATTATTAAAAGCGCAAAATTACTAACTTTCAACTAGTTCTGCTCTTGCTGCTGTAACAAAACAAGCTGCAATTCAAAATTAGATCATATTTCTAAGGGTTTTATTATAGACAAAATGAAAATTTATAAAATTTTCTCATTGAAAAAAAAAACTGAGTTACCCTTTCTAATTAAAAACTGAGTTACCGTTTTTTATGATGTATGGATAAAATTACCTAGTCACATTATTTGGCTATAAGCGAGGGAATTATACGGGAGTCTTACAATAAATCGTAACCGTTTTTTTCTTTCTTTTTACTATGTGCCCCCTCATAATATAATTAAGATGTGGTGTTAGTCATTACATTAATTAAGATAAAACCAAGACGCTTTCTATAATCTGAACTATTATTATTTAGAAACTGTGACATAATTATAGTATGAAATTCTTTTACGACACGAAAACGTGGAAAAATAGTACAAATCATTACTGTTAATGAGACTTCTTTATCCCTAAGTTGTAATTATCGGTTTCTGTCAAAGACCTCTACTGTTATATAAAGATACAGTTTTCTAAAGGTATTATTGTATTTCGCTTGCAATATTTATAAAGTGCAAGAATCGACTCAGTAATTTTGTGTTTATTCTTAATTACATTTTTTTCAAAGAATACACAATATGGCGTAAATAGGTAACTAAACAAACTGAACAACGAATTGAGGTTTCCGTGTGTATTGTGCTGTGCTCTTAACGATTTCTTATACGGGATGTCTCACAATATTGTGGTACGCAATAAAACAAATAATAAAGTACAAAATTTCAAAGTTGATATCTTTTAATGTAATAATAAATTTAAGATGAACCGCTGTGAAACTCAGCAGTAATTTTCTTTTTATTTTTGTTTAAACCTTCTTTGAAAAATCAATCACTCTTGAATAAACTTCTTAACAATTTTAGAAAATAACGTGATAAAAAAGAAACATTATATGTACCCAAAATAAAAAAGCTATTAAATCTACCGAGACACCCAAAAGAAAGCTTAATGTTGCGCTATAGGTACAAGAGATCTGGCTCCTATATGTACCCGCGATACTATTTGAGTTGGCCTAATGATAGGTCAATTAAATGGATATTAGGGTTATATTTTAATAGCTTAATTATTTTCCATACGATACACCTTGTGGAATTATATAAAATTATATTTACTCAAAGCTCTTTACATAAAGCTATCGAGTTACTAGTGCTTAATATACACCTTGAGGAATTATTTTTAAATTAAAATATAATTATATTAAATTATAATTAAATTAAAGGTTACCTTTACTGATAAGCTTGAAAGCTTTTTACTTAAAGCTCGCGAGATACTAGTGGCACCATCTATCGCTGTTTCAATCGAACATACAAAGTAATACGGGCTTTTAAGATGCAGTGTTTATATTGTTTTCGAGTTATAAACTTATATTGATGTATAACTAAAAAATATGAAACATTTTATATATTTTATAACCTCCTGTATTTAGTAGTATGTCACATGAAAGACAATTAGATTCGAAGATGTGCCACCGAGCGACGCGTGCGCCATTATCTCGTTAAGCGGAGCATAATATGATGGTGCCTCATTGTGGTGTGTGCAGCCATCGCGAGATGGCGTTACGTGTGTTCATAATTCTAATCCTTTCACAGGCGGCTATTAGCAGTGAAAACTACAGAAAAAATGGATTTATTGATAGTTTGAATAGTGGGATGAAGTTTGCTACAGATATTCTTGGTAAGCGACTCAAATTGATAATAAAATATATGTATACTGGCATCTGTTCAATGAAACAAACAAAAATTTTTGATATTAAGGACTCTTTTTAATTAAAATTGCTGATTAATTAATTTAAAAACATTTTTTTTTCTAATATTAAACAGGTAAAGGAAAATTAACTAATCTATGAACCCACAGCTCAAATTATTAGGACGTAGAGATTCGCTAAGAAAGGAACTACAAAATCATGTAACTTACGGTATCCGAGCCGTGGCCTGAAACTTTATTTATATATTTTAAGTAACAAAATTAATGGATTTTTCTTTGATTCGTTTAATACTGTTTTTGTAAAGGGATTCTTGAATTTGGACTGTCAACGGTTAGGAAAAACTTATCTAAATATAAAAAACTTATATTTCTAATCCCTAACTACATTACATATTAATGGCTATTCGGTGTGTTATTAAAGAATTAGATTACGAAGTTTTTTAGTATAAATGTTTATTGGTGTTCCTATGACATATTATTCCAGGTACTGAATCCGTGGCATTAAAAGTGGCCGAGTTTGTGGTGAAAGCTTTTCAGACAGCAAACAAACCTGCCTCTCCCGACAGAAGATATCCTTCATCAATTAACGAACCTTATGAATCCGGGGACAGTGAAGAAATTAAATTAGACAATCGACCTGATTACGATGTTAATGAAGCATCGAACCAAATGACGCCTTTGAAATATTTGGTGCGACTGTTTGGACTTCAGCCTAATCAAATTAGTGCGGTTGCGGTGAATGCGTTGGTATTTGTAGCACAAATGGTAAGTAGTAGGTTTTTGTTATTATAATAATACTTATAAAATGTATGTGTGCATTATAAAATCTTTATTTAAAAGATTCTGAAAATTGGCAATATTACAGCGTTTTCAATTCTATCTCGCTAAGGAAATTATTGTAACTCTAGACACAAGTAATAATATTGATTTTTCATATAGCAGTGACTTTTTCATTTAGAACCCAAAAATGCAAATAGCAATAATGTTAATGGTTTCAATATTTTTTTAATATAGCGTTTTCTAATGTGAAGGACATCGTTAACAAGGATAGACCACAAACTTGCCCTGTTACTTTAATTATATCCACCGTCATTTCGTGTCCTTGTCGCATTTCTTTCTTAAGAGAGCGGGGCAATATGTAGGTTTTCTTCAATCATGTTTCTCGATCAGCCGTCATCAACATTCACTCTCCTCTTATCCTTTATATCTTTCACGCAAGCTATCATATTTTTTCTTTTTTTCTCTTTATTTTCCCCATCCATTCGTGTACTTTTTTATAGATGCAAATATCTCATAATAAATCACAAGTTTTCAGTGACTATCCAAACACTTTCATATAAATATTATAAGTATATTTTTTAAGTCAAATATTATTTTAAAACTCCTTGGAACTAGCTTATTATAACAACAATGTATGACCATTTCAGATCTCAACATTTTTAGCTGGTAACAAACGTCCCAACAGACCATATAGATCTGAAGATCCAACTACATGGATCCTGAATAAGAGGTCAAGAAAACTGCAAGAACTCATAACTAAAGCAAAAAACGAATCTTTACTAGATGACATTGAGGAGCTTATTAAGAATCAAGGCGACGAAGAAGAGACGAGCTGTATTAGGCTCCTAACCTGTAAAATTACACCTTTTGTGCATAAAATGCAGATAGCCGTGTTTGGGAAAGAGGTGGAAAATAAGGACGACGTTAAAAAAATACGTGGCGCTGCTGCCATGTATCGCCATCTACCGACGGCGAGCGAAATCAATGAAAGAAGCGACATCTGTGAGCGGAAGTATAAAAGTTGCGATTTGAATGGGTGATTAATTATTTTATATAAATTTAATCAACATAATTTATCTAACAGTAGATTTAGTTCCTTTTATAGCTTTTAGTACGTAAATTTCGCAAATGTTGATTTTTTTAAAGTATTTTTTTTATAAGCAAATACCAATATCCTATGTAAACGTAAACTTTATTTATGGTGTTTGCATATCTACCAGAATCGAAGGTAGCGGACGAAATGATTTTTATTTACGCCTAACCTATAACTCACCAATATTATAATATAGCTTTAAAAATAAATTGCGTAGCTTTTTCTTGATACAAACAGACTCGTCTAATCGCTAATCATCTTTATTATTAAAATATAAATGATGTATGTATGTACATTTATAAATTATATAGTTTATCGTGTATAACTAAGATATGTATTTGTTACGCGTTATGTGTTATATTTGTAAGTATATATTCAATGTCGTATATTTTTGTTAATAATTTGTTTATAATTAAGCACCCTAATGGCTACTAGGTATCCCCACATCATTCTAAAGTTGACTGATAGAGAATGTCTAAGACATTAAGGCCGCCATTGTACTTCAAATGTGCATAAAATTTAAATGAATAACGTGATATTAGAATTTTGTCACCTGAGTTCATATTTTTTTTATACATAGAATTCTAAAATTTATCTTTTGACGCGTTCCATTCTGTTCACCTTTGAAACTTTACTTATACTTTATAGTATGTAATTTAAAGTTTATTTAATACTAATCGTGCCCGCGACTTCGTCTTAGTAGAAAAGTATATTTTATTTTAAAAGTTAATGTTATTTCGGCACCAATAAAAGCATTGACTTTGGAAATGAGACATTGAATTAGTTTTTATTTAATATTTTTAAGATTTAAAAATTCGATATACTTTTGTGTACACGGTACATTAATTATATTAATGCCCTATTTTCCTTTGTCTATAAAAAGATAAATACTTAATTTTAACATAAATTTCTATAAATGTGCATGTCATGTCATAGAAGTATCAATACGACAAATTTCACAAAATAACAAAAATCAGATAAAACAAAGGGACACAATTTTAGAGGCTATGGACCCCGCCGTCGTGTTTCACACTTTCGTGTAAAGTACGTGCTCTTAAAGCACTTCTCATGATTATGTTATAATGTAACGTCACCAATTGTAAAATGTAACAATTTAGAAAAATGTAATCAATGATTTGATTGATATTAGTTATAGAATTAAATAAGAATTTGACGGTCAGCCATTTTCTTATATAAAATATGGATAAAAAGAACTTTAAACTATTTTAAAGAGTCTAAGCTGGAACCTCAACGTCAATAAAATTATTATATATGACACCAAATATGGAAACATGTCCAGTGCACTAATTAAAATATTATAGACATTTGTGACTCACTCAGGGTTGCCAATCGTACTATAATAGTATTGAATTATATTTGTGGCCGGCGTGTTATATAATGTAAGAGAAATATACCTCTATAGTACGTAAAAACACTATATTTTCAACGACAAACTCTTCGTTTATGAAGGCGCTTAAGGTTATCGGAAAAATCTACAAAATGCAATGCGAAAGATATCCTGAACGGGTGGTAAGAAAAAAAAATTAATGATTCTAAAGTGCATATTGAAAATAAGCCTATTTAAATTAAAGATAACTTGTGTTTTTTTACGGCATGTATATCATAATATGAAACAAAAGCATGAAGTGAACAAAGTCATGTTTGATTCCTGTGGAATCTGATAAAACCAGTAACTGTATATTTTTAAGTGTTGGTACTATATCTCAATAGCTTATTTTTTAATATTGTTTATATTACGTTGAACAAATTTTGACAACCCTAGTCTTGGTGTGGGTAAACGAATACACGATAATTATTGAAATCAGTTATGTGACCTCATGGCCCATTGAAGATTCACTACCACGTGCCGACAACACACTTCACGTAAGACTGACATACCGTGATGGGGTTACACGAACAAGTTTCTCCTATTAAATTGAGAATAATGACTGCAACACACTTTCAATTCTTAAACCCATCCGATACGAGCATTATATGGACGCATTTGACCGGGAGCTGGGTAAGAAGTAGTCCCTACTGTATCCTAAGCCCTTCCCCCGAACGCGAGGGTAAATCGGAGGGGATTTAGTTTAAGCCTTTGGGCGGATCCGTGTGGATGGATGGCCCACCCACTCTTCTGCCGTCTCTCAAGCTACAAGGATGAAATTTTCAAGTTAAATACAATTGGTCGACTATTACTCGTAAACTTGTAAAGCCGACTAAGTGTGATAGTTTTCCGTACTATCACACTTACACTACACTATCACACAGGCACTACTGCCGTAACGTTTGAGTTTTTACCAACGACCGTTTAGTTGGTAGAGGGGGACACTTGAATCTAAGCTTAATAAGTCACAAACGATCTACTAAATCGACAAACGGGATTCAATCCCCAATGTTTTTGAAAAACCTATCCAACGATGCCCCACACTATGGGGATAACGAAAAAAAATTATCACCCCCACTTTACCTGTAACCTAAACATTTTTATTGTAATTTTACCACATTGTCGCCACAATAAACATGTATACTCATGCCAAATCACACTTTATAGTACCAATAGCCTTTTGAGGTAAACCTCCAACGGACGGACGGAGGGTCAGACGGACATATCGAACTGTAAGGTTTCCTTGTTTACTACGTAACCCAAAAAGTAGTCGATCTACTTTTACAGTCTAATAAGGCGCTGCGTAAAGAGCAGAATTCAGACATGATCTTAATAGTATTCCTATACATAGTATAAAACAAAGTTGCTTCCCCTGCTTGCCTGTTGCTGTCTGTACGCCGATATCTGTTAAACTACGCAGCGGATTCTTATACGATTTTCATGAATATACAGAGTGATTCAAGAACAAAGTGTAAAGTCCTAGAGTGCGCGCTATAGAACTCTGATGTATCAATCAAGAGTTCTTACCGGGCTATAAACATCACCAGGACTCGAACTCCAGCCAGCTATCACCTTCTGCAATTTTATAATGAAAATCAGGTGAGTTGTCGTTATGGAAAAAACAAGAGAACATTGAGATAGGACGTATTATCTGTATACAACCTCATTTAAGGTTTTCGATTTGAGCGATGAAACTGGTAGAGTCAAAACTTTATTTTTTTAATATTTTGTTACTTTTATAAAATTTGTGACAAGAACAGTAATTGAAAATAATTGGCAAGGAATCCATCATATTTAACGATTTCAGCATTATAAAGTTTAAAACATCAGGATTGATGAGCTTTTTTATGAATGCGTTGGCAACTCTTAATGTTTGCATGCATACTATTTTGTTCTCACTTTTTAATAAGGTGAATGTTGGTAGCAGTACAGTGTTACCAAATAAATATTCAACTAAAAATAATCTATCTAAAATGTGTACCTCGATCGCCTTTCACTCGCCAGCGACGGACGGCGCCAAATTGATCGCGTTCCGAGCCCCGTCTTATGTTATTTTTTGGCGACGATTATAAAGTGAAAACAATATGAGCGCTCTTACTTTTTAAACTGACAAGTTACTCTTTCAGGAAACGCAATTATAGTTTCTTTGTAAACAAATAACACCTCTATTGTCATGTGCACTAATATCTTATTTCCATAGAGTTATGTCATATGGCACTCTGATCTGGGGTATGGCTGCAGATATAGAGTATATTTATTTTACAAAAAAAAGCAGTAAGGGTTATTTATCAATTCGGTTCAAGAACATCACTTAGAGATAAATTCAAAGAAATTGGGATATTAACAGTGGCCTCCCAATTCATATACAATTGTATACTTTATGTTAGAAAAAATATTAACAATTACATTAAACATAGTCATGTACACAATTTTAATACTAAAACAAAGATAACCTTGCCGTCATGTAGGCTAAAGAAGGTACTATCATCATTTATGGGTCAAGGTGTACACTACTATATCTAACAAAATTCCTATGGGAATTTTAAATTTACCATTGCCTAAGTTTAAAACCCATATTAAGACTTATCTACTCAGTATTATACTGTTAATGAATATTTAAACAACAAAACTGCTTGGTGTTAAATATTTTTTTTTTTTATAAAATGGAGGGCAAATGACTGCGCTCCACCTGATGGTAAGCGGAGGCGCAGTCCAAACGCGAGGACAGCTAGTGAAAACAGTACGTAGGTACTGCACTAGCCAACCTCACCTTGTCGACCTGCAAGGTGCTTCTTCACGCCCCGCTTGAAGGACCCCATGTCATAGGAAGGAGGGAGTACATGGGCCGGGAGACAATTCCATTTTTTGGAAGTTCGACAAAGAAATGAGTCGCCAAATTTCTTTGTACGCGAAGGAATCGTTGCCACAGTTAGTTGGTGGCAACGCAAACCAGCACGTGTGGTCCTGAGGAGGAAGGGAGATGGAGGGATAAGGGAAAAGAGTTCTTCAGAGCTTTAATGCCTGTTATCTATACTATTACTTGTTAAATTGTAGTAAAAAAAATACGTATCTAATATTTTTCTATTATCTGACTGACGGACTAAATAGAATTGCATTTTTTTACCCAGTCATCATCCCTATTGCGAACGAAAACTGTCGAGACTGCAGCGTATGAAAATGTCATGTGAAATCTGCAGCAGGTGTTAATAACAACAAAAATGGCAGCAGTGTGCCAGTGGGCCAGGGAATGGTTTCGTGTGTCGTAGCGTGTGATGACCTAGAAGGACACGCGTCGCATTCCACTGATTCGCAGGCTTTCGGCGATCGCGATCGTGACATCGAAAATAAAGACCGGTATACACAAACAACTACATAGGATAAGTATTACAACTATAGAAAGAAAAAGAGTGATTATTTTTTTCTATACAATAAGGAAACTTATAATATAGTGAGTTCGGAATCAGCTTTACTATTCTGTAAGATTACAGCGTTGAACGTAGGATCGAACACAGCGCTGTCCATCAAATAAAATCTACTTACTTTTACATTATGATATCAATAAATAGTTTGAGTGTGTTAGGATATTTTTGTGTCAATATCAATTAAAACCTTATTTTTTCTGAACTAGTTTTGATCTGAGTAAATTGTAAATATCTTAATAATTTACTCAGATCAAAACTATTTTGCGTGTTAATGACTGCAGATGCAGCCATGACGAACGTCTAACCAAAACATGATGGAGCTCGTAATAATACATTTTAGGTCCCCCATCTTATAACTGGCCCTACCGAAAGTTGCTAAACCGCAGCAACGCACAACGATAAAGATTTTGACAATATATCACTAATTGATTATTCATTAATCATTAAATCGAGATTATACATTTCCAACAGTTTCTCTTTCTGTTAGTTATTGCCACAAATTGAAGATGCATTTGAGAATGTGAAAGTTATTAAGGGCAAAATGAAAAGCGTAAAAATAAAGAGTAGGCCCATCAACTTTTAACTTTCCCTTTTGCGAAATGACCAATAATATTACTCACAATATACTAACTGTAAGTTTAAGGCTTCAGTTTAAAAACGATTTCAAACAATCATATGGCGAATTAAGGAACCTCGGAAACGATATTCACACATCTATGTAGACCCTCATTAAACTTTTTGCTTTTTTGCTTCAAGTCAGCTTATGACAAAATATTCTTGTATTTAGAATTGTAATTTAAGAAATTGTATTCTCATAGTATGTTACATATTCCACAAAAATCAGCTTAACAAACACCACACAATTACGTAACTACTTGTGATCTATTCGAATGTTAAATTAAATCAAAATCAAACCACACCACAGAATATTTAAACCGCTTTCAATAACACGACGCTGGCGCTGTATGAATGAATTAATACTAAGCGAGTCAACTTTAAGGTGCTCTTTCATTGCTGCGCATGTCCATGTGGGGTTCTTTAAGCTAGTTTTTTTTTATAGTAGGGATAAACCTAAATCGGACAATAACATAGACGACCTTTATTATGTATTTACATACTCATGGATGTAATTCAGACTATACATACATATATACTATACATAAAGAACTTTCCTACTAACAGAAGTCTGCTTACGGTAGTGGTATGCAGCGTGACGTGCAGCCGTGAGTACATAAAACCAATTACATCTTCTCTGACAGCCAAGTAGCACTCAATGCCCATACAATCGAACACAATAATTTCAAAACTGATAAAAGACGGCATTGACAAACTGAATGAACTGGAAATATTAATATTATTATTATTTACAAAATAATAATATTATTCTCAAACGGGTACCAAGTATACAGGAAAACCATGCGCTGCAAATTTTAAAGGACGCCCTTCAACGTTATTCTAAAATAAATACTGGCACAATCAGCCGAGATTGAAACTATAAGTCTCTTATTATATATATATTCGTAAAAAACTACTACAGAGCTTTTGAAGCTAAGCAGAACGAACTTCAGAGTGATAGTACGAGCCTTTACTGGATATTGCAAATTAAACAAACATCAATTTCATTTGAAATTACGTGACACTATAATTTTTAGAAACTGTAAACAGGACCGTGAAATACTAAAACACATCCTGTGTGAATGTGCGCCGCTGCTGATTCACAAACGAATCATACATCTGGGATGACATACTATAGATGATAAAAAAGCACTAAAAGTCGGGTAAAAAGATCGAACTTCATACAAAATATTTTTCAGGTAGAAGTGACTACAGTTCCATAAGGAACTGCATAGCTACTTAAAACTAATCACAAAACATATAAAAAAAGATAATTAAAAAATAAAACGCACTAGCAAACAAAATCATCTAATCAAAATGCCCGCATATAGACCGAGAACAGTAGCAGTGGCATAAAACCTTTAATCCAACTAAACTTTATGAATAAACGTCACTGAGTCATCCCTGTCTGCTTTAAGAACGAATGAAATATAAACATAATAAGTTCTCCGAAGTTTTCACTACAATTGACCAATGAATAAATCACGGTGGTCATGTCACCATAGAAAGTGAAGACTGCTCCCGATGTTAACCAGAACGGATCAGTTTGTGAGAACAATGCCTTTGGGCACACGCCTTGACGAAAGGGTGGAGTTTACTTGTCGGTTATATGTATGTACAATGTATTTGTGCAAGTTTAAGGTTGACTTATAAAGGCAAAACTTTCCATTATCGTAACCTAATAATAATAAAACAAAGTTATTCGTTTGAGAAAGTATTATTTCTAAAAAGTCGTTAGGTATTTGAATTGAAAATTCTGAATTCGTTAAAAAAATTAAAATTGGAATACAAAAAAAAACTGTGAAAGACTTTTTAGGGTTACTCCAATTAATAAATAATTATGAATTATTTATAAAAAAAGTTCTCAATCATTTAATTTATGTTAATTATTTTTAAAGACCTTCACGAAGCAATTCAATATTTTTATTAAAATTTGGTATCTTTAGAACTGTTTAATTTCGTTAATTAAATATTTGTTTTTTCTATAAAAACGAGGTTAGGTTACTTAGTAAGGTAAAGACTGTAAAACTAACCAAAGAGGAATCAAGGTATCTGCATGACCTCTACAGATAACGTGTTTGTACGAATTTGAAACGCCAATCGCCACCATAAAAATTATCGCACAGTCAATCTTTAGTTTAAGTAACATTTGTTTACATTATAACGCATTGTTCTACATTGATAAGTCGGCAATCCCATCATTTAGGCACGTATGATAAAATAATTACCTGTTTTCCGTAAATTTTAACTTTTCTTCTCTTTATATTGTAAGGAATATTCCTTACGCATACCCCGACTCCTAGCGAGCAACTAGGTTATTTAACTGGTTGTGTGGTAGGACTCTCTGATCGTGTTATCTTTTCTAAAGGGTGATCAACACGGTAGCAAACCAGCGTTCCAACAGAAGTTATCTTGCATATTGCGGTCGAAACAGCAGCAGTTGTAACGATTACGATCTACGAACCAAGAATTCCCACCAAGGACACCTTTGTTTATAATCGTGTGGTAACACTTAAAATCTACGACCAATAAGTGGATTTGAGTGGAAGAGAGTGTAGGGCTCTACTATTACCGAAAACGTATATTAAATATAAAGCATAAATCCCAAATATTTTAAAGTTTGTTTGAATAGGCCTAGAAGCTCGGTTTATCATACAAGAAAATAAAACGAAAATGAATATTTATTTATTTTAAACACTTTTTCTGAACAAAATGTGAACTACTCTCATGTAACGTTACCCCTGTGTTATGAGAGGCAGGTAAGAGGCATAGTCTTAATGTAGTTTTAGTTTTGCTTATTTATTCTACTAAAAAGATCTTAAGTTCACAACATTTTATCATCAGCGATTCGTGTGAATTCATTAACAATTAGTAGTTTTTGAATTGAGTTATGTCTCTAAGCCCTCGGGCTCAATCCCAGATCGAATCTATTTAGAAAATGAACTTTTCTGTATTATTTTCAGGTTTCAGGAGCTACATAGTTTAAACAAATTAAGTATAAGTACAATTTTTCCATCACAGAGTTGTATTATACATTTGGTTCAATCATTCAACATTCAATACATTATTTTCATTCAATCCAATTTCAAGGAAATCGACGTATACGTTAGGGTTACGCGATACACCCGTAGTTTTGTGTTCTTACTTCATTTCTTCCACAGAGTGATCATATGATTTTACTATATTTTTTTCTCGTATATAATTGCAACATGGAAGTTCTAATTGAAAAAAAAAAATTGCTGGGTCATTGAATGAAATCAAATGCCAGCCGTGGGAGCTTCCTGGCATGATGTTCCACTGCTACTTTACATTTTGACACACTTACTCTAGAAGAAAGTTAATTTACTATTAACCGAGCGTAATTACAGTTTGGATGATGAACTAGTGCATCGTTGAGTCGACCTTTCTTTCTGATTCAGTTTTTTTGACCAACTTGAATGAAAAACATATTAAAAATTTTAAAAAATCCTGGATCTAAAAATTATTCTGAAAAGCATAAAAGTAATCTTTAAAATTTCTAAATTAAAAATAAGCTTGGCTAAATAAAGTTCTCATTGCAGCCGGGGGATCGTTTTATGAACCATTTTTAATTTAAGTGTCCCCCGACTGCAATATGTTATTTTTTATCCAAACTTTTTTATTATAAATATTATTTGTATACTTTTTAGAGCGATGCAGTCAAAACGCGCTAATACTATAAGCTCCTCTCCGTAAAAATGTAATAAATTTATAAACAGGTTTACACCATTTTTCGATTTCAACAATTACAACTCAAAATCGATTTCGTTTAAAACGGAATGGGTTAGTCCCAATTACCTTAATAATGAGTACGTTCAAATTTGATTTCATTAAAATGAATTCAAACGTAGCCGTTTTACCAAGATACCAAAGAAAATAAAATATGAATAAATATATTGTGGCACATCTGTGTAATAATAATCTTTGTCACTCTGTGCCAACGTAATCTGTGACATTTGTTTTTTGTGATTGGCACTTCAACATCAAATAGTCTGAAAGTAAACTCATAACTGTGAACACGTTTATTTATTTTACCGACCCTTCGTATAAATAGAGTCAGATAGTAAACTTACCAGTAAGTTAAATATCAACCTATATACTAATAAAGAAATAAAAATGTCACAGATTACATTGCCACAGAGTGGGTGACAAGAAAAATGCTTTAATTTGTTTGGTTATCTTTGTCCCTTACACTCTGAGATACCTGACGACTCAGAGTGCTGCGCTCAGTGTCATTAATGGATTTTTAAACATTTTTCATTAAGAATATTTTTCAGTATAGCATTGTGAAAACTTGATCAAGTATAATATTTATGTTATT